AGTTTTATTATGAGATTGCAGCAATTTAGTCACATCTTCAGGCTCCATTTGTAATGTCAGTTCTCTTCCTGTTTTCACCTCATCTTCAGTTACTGCCTTGACTGAAGTCTTGAACAGCTCCAAATCATTGATACGGTTTGAATCAACTTCTTCCAAACTCCTGTCAGTGTTGGTACTTTTCCTTATCCCATGAATTGTGAATGTTGTAATGGCATCTAGAATAGTGAATACTTTGAGGTTTTCGCTCCAGATTTATCAGTGGAATCACTCTCTGTGGCAGCTAGAGCCTCATGAAATGTATTGCTTAAATAATAAAGCTTGAAAGTCAGTCATTCCTTAATCCATCGGCTGCTTTCGTAAGCATGAAAACAATGCTAATCTCCTTGTACGTCTCCCAGAGCTCCTGGGTGACTACGTGCCTGGTCATTGAGCAGTAATATTTTGCAAGGGATCATCTTCTTTTTTTTTTTTTTTCTCTGAGTAATATGTCACAAGAGCGGGCTCAAAATATTCAGTAAACCATGCTGCAAATACATGTTTTGACATCTAGGATTTGTTGTTCATTTATAGAGTACAGGCAGAGTTGATCTGTATAATTCTTAAAAGTTCCAGAATTTTCAGAAAGGTAAGTGAGCATCGGTCTCAACTTAAAGTCACCAGCTGCATTCGCCCCTAACAAAAGAATCAGCCTGTTATTTGAAGCTTTGAAGCCAGCCATTGTCTTCTCTCTAGCTAGAGAGTCGTAGATGGCTTCTTCTAGTAGAAGGCTTTTTCATCTTCATTGAAAATCTGTTTAGTGTAGAGATGTTCATCAATGATCATAGCTAGATCTGGAGAACTTGCTGCAGCTTCTGCATAAGCAGTTTCACCTTGCCCTTTTATTTTATGGAGATGGCTTCATTTCCTAAACCTCACAAATCAACCTCTGCTAGCTTCAGACTTTTCTTCTGCATCCTTCTCACCTCTCTCAGGCTTCATAGAATTGAAGAGAGTTAGGGCCTTACGCTAGAGCAGAATTGGCTAGAATGTTGTCGCTGGTTTGGTCATTTATCCAAACCATTCAGACTTTCTCCATATCGGGAGTAAGGCTGGTTCGTTCTTACCATTCATGTGTTCGTTGGAGAAGCACATTTAATTTCTAAGAAGTTTTCCTTTGCTTTCATAACTTGACCGGCACCAAGGGGTCTAGCTTTCTGCTTGTCTTGGCTTTCATCATGCCCACCTCGCTATATTTATTTCCTTTTACTTAGAGGTCATTGTAGGGTATTCATTGGCCTAATTTGACTATTAGTATGTCTCATAGAATAAGGAGGTCCCAGGAGAGCCAGGGAGATGGGGAGTAGAACATGCAGAACACATGCATTTGTCAGTTAAGCTTACTGTCTTACATGGTACAGTTCATGACACCCAAAATGTTAGAAGAGGAACATCAGAGATTACAGATCACCTTGATAGATATAATAATAAGAAGAAAAAGATTGAAGTATTGTGACAATCAATATGGTGTACACAGAGACACAAAGTGAACCAGGCTGTTGGAAAAATGGCACCAGTAGGTGTGCTCAGGCAGGCTTGCCGCAAGCTTTCAACTTGTATTTGTTTTTTCTTAAAAGAGCGGTATCTGTGAGGCACAATAAAGCAACAGAGTGTCTGTACATTTACAAATACCCTGCTTTGTAAAAGCAGTCACCATAAACAAAACCAAAGAACACAGTGCTGTGTGTGTGTTTACATGAACAAATAGAAAGGTAAATGCATGGAAAAGATACTAGCTTCCAAACCAAGTGAGGGAGGAAAAGACTTTTAAATAAATGATTAAGATAGGAATCTCATTATAAAATAAATGCATAAAAGTAATTACTGAAAATACAGTCATAAAATATAGTTATCTCACAGGTTTTTTTTTGTCCTTTGTGCTTTTTCTGTATTTGAATTTTTTACAGTGAAATTGTGTTATTCAGAATCAGAAAGAAATATGGCAAAGCTCATTTCATCATGGGGATGGGAGAAGACAGATGAGCATGGGTATTTGGTAATTTGATGCACCTTTTTATTTCTTTGGTCTTTATTTAGTAGGAAGTAGTAAGAAATAGTGTCGATTAAAATTGAAGAAATGTCATCTCAGAAGTGAAATTTAAAAATTTATACTTCTAAATGAGAGTTCATACATAAACGTGTCATGAACTAGAATTCTGCCTTACTCTGTGGGGCGCTGATGTGGTAAGGTTGGAAGGTCGTATCGTCAAGGTGATTGTGCATTTTCTCTGAAGGGAAAGCACTGGAGCGGGAGGACGTTGTGGTGTGTTGCCCTGACAGTTACGTGAAGTAAAAGAGAGCTCTGTTATGATCCAGGGCCTTGTCAGGTAATCACTTACCTGTTCAGAAGAACTATGTAGCAAGCATAATTGCATATATATAAGAGACATAATTTACCTATAGAATAATTAGGTCCATGGATATGATGGATAAGTGTTCCTTACACTTAAAGTTGATTAGTAACTGCTGTACAAAGTTCTGTAAGTGAGAATACTGTTAGTAAAGCAGCAGTGTACATAGGGTCCATACTACTGAACAGAGGCTTGATGTTCTCTGAGCTGTGTCCCCTCAGCTGTTGGTGGTGTGAACACTGAGGTCAGGAACTTGAAATCCTGTCTGTACTAAAAATACAAAAATTAGCTGGGTGTGGTGGCGAGTGCCTGTAATCCCAGGTACTTGGGAGGCTGAGGCAGGAGAATCGCTTGAACCCAGGAGGCAGAGGTTGCAGTGAGCTGAGATCACACCACAGCACTCCAGCCTGGGTGACAGAGTGAGACTGCATCTCAAAAAGAAAATAAAGAATGCCTAGTGTTGCATCTGATACCTGGTGTTGCCCTGTTATTTGCCAAGAGGAGGTTTATGTTGATAAGTGTATATAAGTCTATTTAAAAACCATTCTATAAAATTGCATATGATAAACTTTTAAGCATCTTTATTCTTTGAGTAATTTTTGGCTATTTTTACTGTTAAAAATGAGAAAGTGAAAGAGCACCATTAATTAATTGAGGTTTTTTTTTTTTTTTTTTTTTTTTTTTTTTTTTTTGAGACAGAGTTTCACTCTTGTTACCCAGGCTGGAGTGCAATGGCGCAATCTCGGCTCACCGCAACCTCCGCCTCCTGGGTTCAGGCAATTCTCCTGCCTCAGCCTCCTGAGTAGCTGGGATTACAGGCACACACCACCATGCCCAGCTAATTTTTTTGTATTTTTAGTAGAGACGGGGTTTCACCATGTTGACCAGGATGGTCTCGATCTCTTGACCTCGTGACCCACCTGCTTCGGCCTCCCAAAGTGCTGGTATTACAGGCTTGAGCCACCGCGCCCAGCCTAAATTGGGGTTTTAAAGTTGTGAAAGCCTATCTTGAAATTTTAATGACAGCCTCTTATGAAGTGATTTGATAATTTCTATTGAGTGTTTCCTCTAGTTTTGGTTGTCTGTTCTATTATTTTCTAACCAGTTTTCTTTTGCAAGATTAGGCAATACAAACTAGGAGTTGATTATTGTTTTGCCTTGACTTAGAAATTCTTTATCTTCTTAGCTTGCCATTTTATAAATTGTAGCTGTTTTCATACTCTTTATTCATTATTTTATCTATTTAATTATTCAATAAATTTTCTCCTAATTGTTAGATATTATCCTGGGATAAAAAGAAGCTGCCCTTAAAGCTTATTATAAAGGGAGATGGAAAGACTAAGAAACAGAAAACAAGAAGCTTTTCTATTAGAAGGAAAATTATACTTAAGCTGAACAATGACTGGATGTTATTAGACATGAAAGTTGGGGCGAGAGGCATCAGGGAAGTATGATATATGTCACTGAGTCTGAGGATTCCGCTTCCAGGTGACTTGGCTCTAAGTGTTTGATAAAGATTGAGGCTAAAGAGATGCATGAAGGTCAAATCCTGAAGTAGTATGTGTTCTAAGCCAAGATACTGGATTTATGAAACACTATGAAGAAAGATTGATTAATTTATAATAATATGTGTTATAGTTGATTTGTCTTTTGAAGGTAATTGAAGCAGTGTAGATAGAAATTACAGGGTTCTATAGAAGAGTCTTAACTCCTTTGGTATGTGAGCATGAGGATATATTTGGGTGGTGAGGTGTATGAAGATAACGTCATTACATTAATTACAGGTTGGAAGTAATGTTTACATGCCAGTGACTTGGCCTTCTTTTCTTATTCTCTCTAATCCTGTGTCGCTTCGTGTTAGCAGTGCATTAGAGTGAAGATGGAGCATAAACCCAGAGGCTAGAAGAGTATTGGACAACCATCATCTCCCACTCTCCTCCTTCAGTGTTTTTGGGGCTTTCTTAAATGATTAAAAAAATTGTTTGGCTATAGTAAAAACATAATAAAAAAGTAATACAGCATTATGAATTTTTAAGAGTTGAGTGAATACAGTATATTGAAAGAGATGCCTAAAAATGTTTGTTGAATCAGTAACTAGCCCTGTAATCTGTCTAAACGGTCTGATTAAAATTTAATCATAAAGAAAGGTTATTTACAAGAAAACAAAAACTGTTCTGGCTTGTGTGGTAGTTATCCTAACAGATCTCATATTATATGAACCCATTTTATAAAACTTGTTTGAATGTTGAAAAGATGGGTTAAGGACCAGAGAGATTGACATTTGCAGTAATGAAGAAATTACACAGAATTTAACCATTACGACCTTTCCATATAAAAGATTTGGAAAAAAAAAAAAAAAATTCAGTCTGGCTTTTTTTAGGGGCCAGGTGATTAAAAGCAGCCAAATTAGCTGGCTTGGCTTTTTATTATAGACTGTTTCATTTCACTTTTATTGATGATTATTTTGATGATGAGTAAGACTTGTTTCTGTGCTTGATCGTTTCAGTTCTACAGTGACATTTTATTCATTCAAAAGCAATAAATGTATTCTTAAGTACTTGCTAACTTAGTTACTTAGGCATGTTCACAGTTAATTATTTTTTATTTTTTTAGGTTATGCTTCCTCCTGGAGCCCAGCATTCTGATGAAAAAGGTGCTAAAGAAATTATTCTTGATGATGATGAGTGTCCTTTACAAATCTTCAGGGAATGGCCAAGTGACAAAGGTAGTAACCTTATTAAAAGACTACTTTCAGCAGATTCCTACAGGATACACCGGTTGCTCAACCTAACACATGATGTAGGAGATGTGTACCTAAATATTTAGGATGATTTTTTTGCTGTAAAGCTTTCTACCTCCTTCATTGACTTGCTTGATGATTCCTGAGTGTTGCCTTTGTCCCTAAGACCACACTCAGCTTATCTGAGTCTCGTGTAGGTAGACCTTGAACAAATGGTAATACCGCAGGTAAATAATACATCTCATTAAGAAACCAGAGTGTTAGCACTACATCAAGAAGTGAGAGACTGTTGTTATCTACAGTAGTAGAAAACACACTTCATGCTGACCAGATTACTGTATGGTGTTTGGACAAATTTGTTATGATGGTGAAAATGACCTCTTGTAATCCTATAGATTGTCCAGTGTTTTAGTCAGTTCAAATAATGAATTCACACTTTGCACTACCAAAACAATTTTTCCTAATTATTTCAAAGCAGTCAAAGTTTAAAGCTGTGTTTTTGAGAAAATACGGTTTTCTTTCAAATTCACATCATAAGTTAACTGTTAACTCTGTAGAGGGCCTTGCATTAATAATGACATAAAAATGTATTGCCAATTAATCATGTCAATATGGAATGTAGTTTTGAAACACCCAAAAAAATCCTTCCCAGTAAGCAAATTTCTTGCCTCCTTAAAACACTTGTTTAGTACTTTTAAAAAATAGTATAAAGTTAAAATTTTGTTAAAGGCAAATTGCTTAAATTCTTTAAGTTGAATTTAATAAGAATCAGATCAACTAAAAATATACATATATTTTGTTAGTAGTAATAGAATGGTTCTTTTATTTCAGTAGATTTTTGGGGAACAGGTGGTATTTGGTTACATGAATAAGTTTTTTAGTGGTGATTTCTGAGATTTTGGTGTACCCATCACCCTAAAAGTACTTTTATTTTTTTTTTTGAGACCGAGTCTCACTCTGTTGTCCAGGCTGGAGTGCAGTGACACGATCTCGGCTCACTACAACCTCTGCCTCCCAGGTTCAAGCTCTTCTCTTGCCTCAGCATCCTGAGCAGCTTGGGACTACAGGGGCGTGCCATCATGCCCCTTGAATTGTTTCTATTTTTAGTGGAGATGGGGTTTCACCGTGTTAGCCAGGATGGTCTCAATCTCTTGATCTTGTGATCCGCCTGCCTCAGCCTCCCAAAGTGCTAGATTTACAGGTGTGAGCCACAGTGCCCTGCCAGAAGTACCTTTTTATATGTGTATTTGTGTGTGAATGTGTTTTTTATATGTGCATGAATGTATTTATTGATCATAAGAGTTGTTTACTAATGTAAGCATTTATTCTTAAACCTAAGTGTTGTTTTTCAAGCTTGTGATGTCTTAGGTAGCTGTTAATTTAGAGTAATTTTTGGAAATTGTTTGCTGGATCTTTTCAAATACACCAAGAGGCTAATATTTCCTCTGTTGAGTAAAAGTATAAATTGGGTAAGCTTTAATCAGTGATTCCTTGGCAGATGTTTCTAAATTACCTGCATCTTCTTGAGAAAGCTTTGCTCAGTTGACTGCCAGTCAGCTGGTGATCCTGACCAACCTGAGTCTGGCTGATGATTTCCAATGCTGCTGTTCTAGGGATTTTAGTCTTTCAGTTGAAGAGGAGGCCACCAGACCACATCCCAAAGAAAACGAAGAAACACTTGGAAGGGAAGCCAACCAAAGGAAAGGAGAGAGCCGAAGGGTCTGGCTATGGCTCCACCCTTCCCCCGGAGAAGCTGCCCTATTTAGTAGAGTTAAGCCCAGGTGAGAAAGCTGGTCACACCAGCAGATATTATAAATGTACATTTTTAGCTTTAAATCTTTGTACTTTCTAATGCATCTTCAAGTAGTCTTCTGTTGGCTGACGTCACATTTTTAGACCATTTTTTTTAAAAAGGTAACTATCATAACTTTTTAAAAAGATTAAAATTATAAAATATGTATATGTTTACATAAAAATGGTTCACATGGACAGAAGTGAGTATTAAGAAACAAAATTAAAATCGTGTATAGACCGTTTTAAATTATTTTAATCCCTTAAAATTTTTTTTCCAAGATAACTTTCATAAAATATTAATCTACTAAAAATGACAAGTTGATATTTACCCCTTCTAAGGCAGATTTCATAAAGGGGTGTGTGTGTGTGTGTGTGTGTGTGTGTGTGTGTGTGTGTCCGTCTGTCTCTGATGCATGGACAGTGTCTAAAAAGAATATTTTAAATCTTATATCTAAGAAACCCATCTTAGTAAGAGGAAGGCTATTTGATTTTAAAGTAACAGACTATGTTTATTTTCTCATGAGTCCTCTAAGTGTTTTGTTTGTTGAACTCTCACACCCCAAAGCTGTTGGGTCAGTTTAGCCATTGGGTAGAGAAATACCTGGTCATTATTAAGGCAATGTTTTACACACACATCCCTAGGTAGAGTGTGTATTTGCACATATGTATGCTGTACCTGACCTTTATCACTAAGCTAGCATTACTTCATTTCTTATTTAGTTATGAAATGCTATTATGTGACCTGTATTAAACAATACTATGAAGATGAGAGTATTGCACCCCATCCCAAGCTGCACTTAATGAAAGCCCAATTCGTAATCACAGAAAAAATTAGCAGAAAATTAAACCAGTTATATGTATGATACATGGCTCTATGAGCATGAATTATATTTTTTTCCTGATTTTTGAGCGTTTATTTTTATTTATAAGCTTTGTTTAGTTTCTTGCAGTTAGGTTGTTGTAATTAACTAATGATTAGATATGATATTTGTTGTCCAGCAGTCTCATGGTACAGTAAGTTATGTCAGTGCAGAAAGTGATGGTATCATTTTGATGCCACAGTTAGTGGCAGTGTGGCTTTAGGTAGTAGCTCTATACTTAATTATGTACAAAAATTAATTGATAAGCTATTTGTGAGGAATATATTGGTGTTGCTGACCTTAGTTCTCGGGTGGAAAGTTTCATTTGAAGTTTTATTATCTCACTGTAGTTTGGAAACACATCCCAGTATTATTGTGTGTCTATAATGTGTGTGAGAGCATTGGTGTTTGGTTATCTGAGGGAATGAATGGCAGTTGTGAGACAGCCCTTAGTTTTTGAACATTAAATTTTTTAGGCTCTTTTTTGGGTATTGGGCTGCCCTTTAAAATTTTATATTAAGTTCTAGAAACTAATGATTTTTTCCAAATCCAAATTTTTGAAGATTTAAGAGTGTTAAGCCCCTTAGAGAAATTGATAAATAGCAGCGGAAAGAATAACTTTCAAATGAGTAATGAACAGTTTATTTTGGTAGACAGCAGAGACAGGATGAGAATGCATTCATTCACTTACACATTTGATACTTGTTGTGTGTCATACCGTGTTCTGGGCCTTGGAGGTAGAGTACCAGAACAGATTAAACCCCTTCACCTTGGGAATTTATATTCTAGTGAGAATTGTTATTTTGACTGCTTATTTCCTACTTAAGAGTCTCTCAGGTAATCAAATATATAGAATTTTTTTTTTGTAGATGTGGAGTAGATCATAGTTTTATACTACTTTTGGCCAAATATTGATAACAGCATATATTACATGGTTATTAATACACTGCCTTCCTACTGGCACCCTGCTGCCTTTAGTCAACATTTACTGACCCTTCGACTATAGGCAAAGCAATGGATACAAAAGGAATAAATTCATTCCTGCCTTCAGGTAATTCACACAGCTGGAGGGAATCACAGTGCCATGTGACCCCAGTGACTCGGCCTCTAGTCTCGACTTCTCTTTTGGGCCCTGTGGGCTGCTCTTGAGATAGCTATACTTGTTGTTCCACAAGTGTGTGAAGTTCAGGTCTGGTGCCACTATTTTAAGGGTGACCTCCGAGGTTGGTGGCGGGCCTGAGTGCGAGGCCAGGATCTTCCCTGCACCAAAGCCATGCTCTTTCATTGAGTCCTAATGTCTTTTTAGGTTTTAATTATTATTCATTGTTCACAGCATGCTGAATGAAAGTGATCTATTTTCCATTTATGAGAAAATAATATACATAATGATTTATAATCAGTGGATAAGTACTGTATTTCCCCAGCACATTGTCAGCCAAGCATATCCTCACTGCTGGGGTCCTGTTGGGTGTGGAGAGGAGTTTTTTCAGATGTGGCCGTGAGCTAAACATTGTCTTTTAGAGAAATGGGGAGCAAATATGTGATTTTGTTCTTTGCTTTGGATTTGACTGTGTTTGTTAAACAGAAGAAATCCGCCCAGTGGGGTGGTAGCCTCTGCATGATTAACTCCCTGCTGTTGTCCTGCTGCTTGGTGACTCACCTGTTGTCCTGCTGTTTCCCTTCACAGTCTGCATTGGTTTCTAAAACACTGACTGGGGCACTAGTGTAGTCTTGTCCTCACAAAAGCTGATGGGTGAAGTGTACCTTTTCTTCCTTTGAAACATGTCTCACTGAAGTTCACCCTCTACGTCTCTTCTCCTCCTTCCCTCTTCTGCGTGTTCTGTATGATCTCTGTTCTGCTGATGCTGCCTTCACCTGGGTCCTGGCATGTTTCTTAACCCCAGGGAGAAGGAATCACTTTGCCAACTACAACTATCACACCTATGAAGGTAATGCTATGCTTACTACTACTTTTGTAACTAGAGCACTAACAGAACCTCATGGGCAGAATAGTGTTGAATGATCACATATCTTATGTATCAGTTTTTCTGTTGATGTAAATGACCTATTTTAAGACATTTAATGTACTATCATTTTATTTGTACCTAGTAAGTTTTCTATACCCAGAGCTCATTCCATTTACTGGAAACTTAACTTGGCTGCTTGATTTTCCCAGGTTCACCCTGGGAAGGAGCCGAAGGGAAAAGCAGCATTGGCTGTGGAGGGATGCTGGGGAGGAAAGGCAGAGTGCCACTTCAGAGCTCTCCCCGGGCGGCACTCAGCCAGTCTGCTTCCCTTCATCTGCAGTGCTGTTACCGTCTGTAGTGGGGTTACTTAGATTTGTCTCTACTCTTTAGGGCGCTCCAGATTTATTGTCATCTATGGGGAGGAAGGAGGCTCAGGCACTTTGGGCAGAAATTGGCTGTTTGTAGAATACTTGTTGAAGAAAGGGAGAAAATTTGGGATTTTTTTTTCGTGGTGACAGTGTTCTGTGTTACTCCCTGTGGGGTAACTGTCCTGATGAAGAGAGGGAATGGGCTGTTGCACTCTCCCTTTCCTCCCCAGCTGAAACCAGACACCTTTTCTCCAGTAAATCCTGTGGCCACCATGCAGGTTCTTCAAAATCTGTGACAGCTTTAACTATGGTTTTCTGTTAGTACTGTGAAGTAGTAAGAAGAGAGAGCCTGGAAGGAGGTTTATTTCTAATCTCTCTGTTGACAGAGTTCTGTTACCGCCGTGAAGTGAGAAGAAGGGAGAGACTTGAGAAAGCAGCTCGTATCTCCCTTTCTCTTTCTGTTTCGAAATCTTGATGTAGAAAGGCGTATGATAGCTCTTTATTCTGCAAGAGACCTTTCAGAAGCATTCAGAAGAAGATGAATGTGAATTTTTCTTTCATCTCTAAACACACATTTTTTTCATGTTCTATTTTTAACTTTGCGTTGAAATGTTTTTGTTTCACGTGATTACCTGTTGACTCCTTTTGCCTTTATAATTTGTGTAATTTCTCTGTGATTATATTGCATTCTGTTTTCTTTATTTTCAAATAATTCTTCACTGCTGACATGTTACGTCTTTATTGATTTCTAACTATGAACCATATGTGGAATGATCAGTGCCAGGTTAAAGAGATGTTTTTTTTTTTTTTTAAACCTAGCCACCAGGGAGCTCAGAGATGAGGGAGATACATAGATGGAAATCCTCATACAGTATGGTTAGTGGTACAATTAATATAACAGAGATGGGGTGCTCTGGGAGTAGATAAGAAAGACACGTTCCTTACCTGGGGGAGTCATCGGAACTGCCTTTGGTGTTTAAAACACAAAGTAGCACACATTACTGGCGGATTCGGACTCAGCAGATCTGGAAGGGAACTACCGGTGTCCAGGAAAAGCCCCAGATGATTTTGATGTCTTGTTCAAATCAGGACTTTATTAGAACAGTTGGAGCTGAAAATAAATATTTCAACACGATGTAAAGCAGCATAGACGATAAATGAGGTTATTTTAATGGGTATTAGGCATTGGTGTCTCTCAAGTACTTCAGTCTCCTCTTACCTTCACTCAGTGTCACAGATTTCTGAAATATTTCAGAAAAAGAAAATTTTGTCATTAGAATGTAACTTTATGGACCCTAAAATTCACATTATTTATAACAGAAGTTGCATTTTTGTGGTGTCTTTTGTCTGTGAAAGTTTAGCCGCACCACTGCTGAGAGAGTTTAGCAGTCTCAAACTCTGTGCACACTCATACCATCCAAACTGTTTGACCTGTGAAGCTCTCAAAGCTTACATTGCTCATTGCAGTGACTAGAGATTTTAACAGGGAATGGAAGTTAGAAGGCAGTCATAAACAGATCAGGGAGACTCTCGCTGGCTCGCCTTCTCCTGAGCTTCGATGGGTGTGCTTGCCACACTCGACTGACTGCCACGGCAGTGGTGCAGGTGCCGAGCTCTGCAGTCACATCATCATTCAGGGCTCTGGAAGGCACATTTCTCATATGGCAACTCTGAAATTGGAAGACCTCATTCTTAGCTGAGGTAATGACATGACATCGCCTTGGCCTGGGATCTAGTGGGTGGAGAATGAGAAAATGTGTAGGTGTGTTGGGGCTGGAGGGCTTTGGCAGAGCAGCTTCCTCCTCCACCTCACCCTTTTCCTGTCATAGAAGCTCATAGAAATTAAACATTCCAACAGTTCATAAAGGCGTAAAATGATAGTAAGAAAAGCCAAAAAACCCAGTCTTCCTTTTATGCAAGTTCCATTCCAGGGAACTAACCACTTTTAACAGTAATTCTTTTTTTTTTTTTTTTTTTGAGACGGAGTTTCGCCCTTGTTACCCAGGCTGGAGTGCAATGGCGCGATCTCGGCTCACCACAACCTCCGCCTCCTGGGCTCAGGCAATTCTCCTGCCTCAGCCTCCTGAGTAGCTGGGATTACAGGCATGTGCCACCATGCCCAGCTAATTTTTTGCACTTTTAGTAGAGACGGGGTTTCACCATGTTGACCAGGATGATCTCGATCTCTCGACCTCGTGATCCACCCGCCTCGGCCTCCCAAAGTGCTGGGATTACAGGCTTGAGCCACCGCGCCCGGCTTAACAGTAATTCTTAATCAATAATGGACAGCAGAATTACTTGGGGAGATTTTTCAGAGGACCCATGCTTAGGCCTCATCCCCAAGGATTTTGATCCAGGAGGTCTGTGGGGAGCTATGAGAATTGTACATTTAAAAACCTCCGTCAGTGATTTAGCTGTGCTCTCAACCTGTATTGTGTTGTGTGCCCTAAGGGCAGCAAGAATACTGCAGGAAAGATCTGGTCTGAAGGGAAGGCCTGTGTGTCTTTGCTGAGCTTCATTTTGCTGATACAGTTGTTCCTCAGAATCATGAACAAAATTCCAGGGCAGTGTGGTAGAGAAGACTTTTTTTTTTAATGTAGTTAGAATGTGTTGGAATTATTGCTTAGTGCTAGCACTTTGTATTATCAGAAATTGCTATGTTTATTTCTTATTTTGAATTTTCTGTATTCAGTTTGTTAAATTGTGTTGTATAAGTTTGAAGAATTCTTTGAAAAGAAATCCTGAGAAGTGAGAACTGTAGTGCCTGAAATAACTTTTTGTTTGTTTGAAATAACATGACAAGAACATTAGACTTTGCAAATAGAGCTCTCTTCCTTCTCACAGATGGTTCTGACTCCAGAGATAAGCCAAAGCTTTACCGCCTTCAATTAAGTGTTACTGAAGTTGGGACAGAAAAGTTGGATGACAACTCTATCCAGGTATGTAGTCTGAGCTTCCTGCTGCGACTCTGACATTTCAGGAGGCGTAATGTATTGGACAGAACCTGCCCCATGGTAATGAAAGAAGGAATTAGAAATACAGACTTTGTATTTAAATAGAAATAATTTATCTACTCTGGGTCACTTTTCTCTGCTTTAGTGTGAAAACAGCAGAATGTGAGTTCATGTTCAAGTTCCACCTCTAGAAATTTGGGCTGGTGATGACATTGCTCTGAAACAGCTTCCTTGTCTCTAAAAGATGGTGATAATTTTATAGGTCTTTGTCAGAATTACAGAAGATAACCTATGCAGAAGGGCTTATCGCTGGGTCTGACACACATAGCAGTAGGCATTTGGTAAATTCTGATTAAATTTAGCTTAATATGGTCTCAAGTACTTAAAACAGCTTAACACATTCTTTGAATAAGTGAAGTCAGGCTTTGTCACTTCTTTGAAGTTGGATTCAGGCAAATTACTCTTGCTCTGTACTTCTTACTTCTCAATTGTAAGATGATGGGTTCAGATTGTTAATGTCATTTTCAGCTCTGCCATTTCTTCTTTCTTAGCGCAGCAGTAAATAATAAAATAGATAGGAATCTTTCATCATAATGATTGCATAAGTTTGTCCGTTAACCATCTAACAAATAGTTGTTAAGATGACTGTAATGCCTTCTAATGAACAAATAGTTGTTAAGATGACTGTAATGCCTTCTAATGAACAAATAGTTGTTAAGATGACTGTAATGCCTTCTAATGCCAAGTTACAGTATGCCTTAAGTCACTGGATGCTAAAAATGTCTGATTGCTTTGACATTTTTTTTGACAGTTTAATTTTTTTTCTATTATTGAGGGAAATTCACTTTAAAAGGCACTAAAAATCCAGAGCTTCTTAGGTTATCTTTATCATAAAAGAGGTACGCACAGTTCTAAAATTCTGTGGTTAAGCACTGTGACCTTCATGATGGGAGTTTCTTTGGTTTCCTTCTGTTGACAGTTATTTGGCCCAGGAATTCAGCCCCATCACTGTGACCTCACCAACATGGACGGAGTAGTCACTGTGACGCCCAGAAGTATAGACGCAGAAACCTATGTGGAAGGCCAGCGCATCTCGGAAACCACCATGCTGCAGAGTGGCATGAAAGTACAGTTTGGGGCGTCCCATGTATTTAAGTTTGTGGACCCCAGTCAGGATCATGCTCTTGCAAAAAGATCTGTGGATGGAGGCCTGATGGTTAAGGGCCCGAGACATAAAACTGGGTAAGTAGATTGTCCTTAAGGATTTAAAATGTTTTGATTGTGCTTAAAGCAGTTCAGATTATTCATCGATAACTTGGCTTTTTATTTTTTAAATTTTTTTTTTTAAAAAGTGAAGTTTGTGATTTTTGGTTTCTATTGTTAACTTGGGTTGGCTTTAGAGGAAAGAAGACAGGTCTTGACTTTGTCTTAAAATGGGAAGTTCTCACTGGTTTTAAGTTGTTCATGTTTAATCTTTGTCTTTTTGTTTTGTTTGTTTGTTTGTTTGTTTTGGTTTTTTAGCCGGTATGCTAAAACAGTACTTTTTCTTTTGTGAAAAAAAAATGGTGTTCTATGTAATTAATCAGTATAGTAGCTAAGATGATAAAATGTTTTGAGATATTCTTTTCCATGGCTGTTGGTGAAACACAGGAAGATCTCTTCAGGAATTCAGAATGTTTTAGCTCCACCTAGTGCTTTTCTGAAGACGTGCATTTTGGGCCTAGTAAAGGAAAACAGACCAGATATTAGATAATGACTATCTAGAAAAATTTATTTGTAGGGAGGGAATATGGCTTCTCCTTAGGCTGTAATTTTTCAGACATGCTGTTAAGCCACTTCATTATCTATTTTTCAGTCATGCTGCTTAAAACAACTGAAAAGTCCTGTACGGTCTACGCTGTCTTCCTGAAGAGCACAGACATGAACCTCATGGGCTTCTCTGCTTTGCCTTTCCCATTGTTTTGCTCTGTGGCCTTCCTTTGATTAGCCACCATGGCTTGGGGCCATGTGTGACTGTTTAGACTTAATGTCTTTCTTCAAGGTGAACACTTGGATTCTCACATTTATTTATTTATTTATTTGTTAAAGTTCACAGCTGTTTAAGATCCATCCCCAGCTGTTCGCCTCACCTTGCTCTCCAAGTGTCAGCAAATGACCATACCTGTTATGTCCAAGGAGACCAGTATGTGCTTTTATTCTCTGCTTCCCAAGAAAACCCATTTCTTTCTGACACTTTCCTCTTTAAACTAATGTGTACTTGAACCCATCCTTCCATTCTTCACAACTTTTAACTGTTTCTGAAGGTGATGTTTTTCATTGATCTGCCATGTCCCCAATTCCTGTCCCTTATCATAGCTTTACATGGGCTCTTTCCTTCAGTAGAGAGTCATGATTTTGTGCTTAAATGTTCATTTCAGTCATCAACTTTTCTTCAGCCCTGTTTCTTCCCCTCAGCATCAGACATGTTGATCTGGTATATCTTGACTCCAGGTTCGTTTTTAGGCTCACTGAGGTTTGTCCAAAGAGATTGTTTATTGTCTGAAACAGTTTCTTCTGTTGTGTGTTACATGTTGTCTTTCAGTAGTACCTACAGTTACTGCCTCTTATTTACTGATGCCCTTTATTCCTGGGTTTTAATATATTTATTGTGATGTGTGTTATTCTTGGTGTTACTGTCTGTCTCTGTTCTGTGTAGAAACACAATTCTAGGAGCAGCCTGTGTCCCACACCTAGTCTGCCCTTCAGTTTTGCTTGTAATGTTTTTAAATGTGTGAGACAATCCTACTGTATTTTTGCCACATGGATCCTGCTTCGGAAGCCTGCAGATGTCTCTTCTTGTCATATTTCTGGCCAAAAGCAGAGATCCTGGAAGAATATGGCTTAAATTTCAGTGAGGAGAATGTGCTGTGAAATTTTGTTACTATTATTGTTTGTTTTTCTGGCAAATCTAGTGGTGGTTGAATATACCATCCATGAAATTAGGACTCTTTTTTTTTTTTTTTTTTTTTTTTTAGGGATATTAATTTAGCCCTAATGTCAAATGATTGTGAAAGATTCTGGCTAGATAACTCACGTAACCTCCAATGAAGATTTCATAGCGTATCTTCAAATCCTACTGATGGCTACAAGCGAGTAGCAAAGTTTGATATTGATAGTTTGAGAATTTTAGGGTCTTCGGTGATACACTGACGCAGTAATTGATTTATTCATCTAGTTTACAATTATCAAGCACCCAGGGCATGCATTACTGTTCTGTGAGTGCTGGCAGAAGTGACATATGATTGTTGCAGTCAGAGGGCATAGTTTGGCAATTTGAAAGTCATGTATAAAGTCACTTTGGTCTCATGCACATATCCAGAATACAGTACAAATGATCCATGTTAAAGCTTGAAAGAGGTAGTTTTGAGGGGAAAAGTTAAAGAATTTTGCAAGGTGGAAATTTGTTGTTCTCGGATGATAATTCTAAGTGGAATCAAGAAGGCTTTGATTCTACTCACATACTACCCACAAGAGGACGTTGGGGTGGACACTGCTCTGTGCAGCTTTGGTAGGTGGCAGAGAACTGGGACTGCCATCATTATTTCTATCGTCAGAGCCGATAGCTGGACTCAGTCTCCCACCCAAACTGCTGGGAGCCAGCAGAGCATTTCCATGTTGTTGTGACTATCTTGGTCATAGATTATGAGTATTTAATTCCAGAAAACTAGCAATATATTGCAGAAAGTTGTGTGCAGAAAGTTGACAGTTACTTAGCCTGTAGTAAAAGCTTTTACTTTTTCAAAAGTCACAATTTTAAAGCATGGTATTATTTTGCATTACAAGATGATTTTGTTTTCTTAGTGGTGAGATAGAAATTTGTACCTGCTTTTCTAATATGAAAAATTGTTTTCAACTTTTGTATTACTTCCTTGTTCTTTCTTTTGGTTGAGCTTAAATAAAAGTGTCACATTACCATGCTGCTTTGATATTAGACCATATATTAATATTTTTCAAGTATTGTAATAAGACATTTTATTCTTCTTAAGTTATCTTTTGCACAAATCCAGGATATTTAAATATTAATTCGTCCTTCTTGGTTTTCAGGTCTTTTTAGGGCTTTTTTTTTTTTTTTTTGCAGAGGTGGGGAAGGCACTGTCCAGTGATCTGGGACCAGTGAGTTGTATTCACCATTTGTGCTGAAGAATGTAGTCTGCCCCAGCTTTTGAGACTTTTCAATCTTTAAAATGAGATTTCGCTCATGAGTTGATTTTTCAAAGTGACATGTTTAGAAGTTTTGATATTTTGAGATATTTGAAGAATCTGTTTAAACTAAGATAATTCTCGATTTGTTACTAACATTATCAGAAATTTCCCACTTTTTAATTTGTAGCCTAAGTAGTGATACTCATATGCTTTAGAAAAATAATCAGATTGACTTTCAAATAGGATAGCAGCTCACTCCTGTTCCTCATGCGTCACCTTCACTCTGTCCATAAATAGGGCCTCGGGTACCTCAGTCTTGTACACTTTATTTATATGCCATTTGCTGCCTAGATAGACTTGTGTGATTTTTATGTTCAGTTTCTTGTATAGCTTAAAATATGCATATACAATCAGGCCAAGCGCAGTGGCTCACGCCTCTAATCCCAGCACTTTGGGAGGCCTAGGTGGGCTGATCACCTGAGGTCAGGAGTTTGAGACCAGCCTGGTCAACATGGTGAAATCCCCTTTCTATAAAAATACAAAAATTATCCGGGCATGTTGGTGCTTGCCTGTAATCCTAGCTGTTTGGGAGACTGAAGCAGGAGAATCACTTGAACTCAGAAGGCGGAGGTTGCAGTGAGCCAAGATCATGCCACTGCACTGCAGCCTGAGCAACAGAGTGAGACTTCATCTAAAAAAAAAAGATCCTGGTAATAGTGAGTATATACTAGTAAAGAAAGCTCGTAAGTGGTTTTTTAATTCTGTAAGTTCATGTGCTGAAAATAGAGCAATTTCTTAAAAATCTTTGAACATTGGGCATTTTAGTTCTTCCTTGCTTATTAGGAAGAGACTGTGCCTTGCCATTTGTGTAATTAAGTCAAGTGTGTTTCTTCTTTTATCCCATCAGAATTGTTCAGGAGACAACTTTTGATTTAGGAGGAGATATTCATAGTGGGACAGCATTACCGACAAGCAAGGTAGGTAATTACGTATTACCTGATAGGACTGTGCTTGCTTTACTTTATAGGACACCATGGATGAATACAGTTGTCTCCCCTCACTGCTAGGGGTTGCATTCCAAGACCACCAGTGGATGCCTGAAACCATGGGTAGTACAGAGCCCTATGGATACTGTGTTTCTTTCCTGTATTTATATACCTGTGATAAAGTTTAATTTATAAAATAAGCACACTAAGACATTAACAACAATAAAGATAAAATGGAACAATATGTATAGTAACAGTGTACTCTAATAAAAGGTATGTTAATTTGGTCTCTGTGTTCTCTCTCAAAGTATCTTACTGTATTGTCCTCACCTGCTTTCAGACTGCAGCATACCTCGGGTAACTGAAACTGTAGAAAGTGAAACTATGGATAAGGGGGACTACAGTAAACTGGTCATATGTGTACTTATAAAACGTCTTTGTAAGAACAGAGTTCACAGTGGCCCCTAAATGTGGATTGTCTTAATCTGCTGTGTTGTTTGTTAGTGATACATAAAAGAAAGTTAGCAGGCCATCCTTTTCTCTAGGGCCCGGATGTTGTACTTTCTCTTTGAAGCAGGGCCTCCATGTGTTCTAGGCTTCTTTGCAGTTAGCCTTGCTCAGTGAGAATATCCTTAATACCCTCATGCTCTTATTAAACCCTCAGTGTAGGTTCTAGATGCTATTCATCAGTTAACCTTCTCAGACACTTCACTTCCCTTGTCTCTTAAATAATCTGTTCATTTCTTTTTTCATTTTCATTCTCTATTGCTGGATAACAACCACTCCAAATCTTACTGGCTAAACAGCAGCCATTTTATTTGTTCACCATTGTGCAGTCTGGTTTGAGCTTATCTGGGCAGCTTGTCTGCTGGTGGTGACTGGTATGACTGACTTCACCTAGGAGATCAGTTGATGGCCAGTGGCTGGAATGCAGGGCCCACTGAACCCCTGTCCGTGCCGTCTCATGTCTTCTCCAGGGGACCTTTTGCCCCATCAGGGCAGCCAGGAGTCGTCATCTTGTGGTGCCTCACAAGAACCACGGAGCTTCCAGGCCTTCTTGAATGTCGTTTCCTCCACTTTTTATTGGTTAAACAAAATACAGTTCAGTCCCGATTCAGGAGGCAGGGACTACCCAAGGTGTGATTCAGTGAAGGCCATGGTACAACAAATGCCTGTGGTCCTGGAGCGTTCTCATCAGCATCAAAACACATTACAGTTTCATCTTAGAAAACTATTTATACCCCTCCAGTTGTGACCCCATTTTTCTACTCCTGTTTGCTACACAGTTTCTTGGGGGGAAAACACACACTCATCTGTGGTTGCCGCCTCCACTCCAGAGCTCCTTGTTCTTTCCTCTGTTCCTGTTCATTTTCACCCCTCCCTCCACAGGGGCCGTCTGTCAGGGGAACTGATGGACTGCCAGTTCCCAAATCCGGCACTCATTTGTCCTGTATTACTTACTGAAGGAGTCTTTAGTGAGGCCTCAACCAGGTACTTGATATACCCTCCAGATTTTTCCTCCACCTTGTAGTGGTTTCTCCTTGCTTTGATTTGTTGATACCTCTTCCTCTTCTGTACCATCTGTTCTGTTCATGCGTCTTTCCTAGGTGAGTTTACCCTGTTGCTTAAGTTTAAATACCAACTAATGTTAATTATTCCCTGATGTGTAGCTTTGGTTTTCACCTCTCCAGACTCATCTCTCTCTCTCTCTTTTTTTTTTTTTCTAAAATGAGACAGCGTCCGCTCTGTTGCCCAGGCTGGAGTGCAGTGGCACAATCTTGGCTCACTGCAGCCACTGCCTCCCAGGTTCAAGTGATTCTCCTGCCTCCGCCTCCTGAGTAGCAGAGATGACAGGCACCCACCACCATTCCTGGCTAATTTTTGTATTTTTAGTAGAGATGGGGTTTTGTCATGTTGTCCAGGCTGGTCATGAATTCCTGAGCTCAGGGAGTCCACCTGCCTCAGCCTTCCAAAGTACTACCATCTGCAGCATTGAGGGTGGTTCACCAAAGTGCTAGGATTACAGTTGTGAGCCACCACACCCGACCCCGACTCATATCTCTAAAGGCTTATTTGACATTCATTTTCATATTCTATGCATATTTCAAATTAAACCTAGTTAAAACAAGACTAGATTTTCTCTGTCAACAAACTTTACCTGATCCTTCCTCATCTTAGAAGATGATGTTACCATCTGCAGCCTTGAAGACAGTACTACCATTTGCAGCATTGAAGACGGTACTACCATCTACAGCATTGAAGGCAGTTACTACCGTCTGTGGCGCTCAAGACAGTACATCATCTGCAACATTGAAGACGGTACTACCATCTGCGACATCGAAGACAGTACACCATCTGTGGTGCCAAAGACGGTACGCCATCTGCTACGTTGATGGTGGTACTACCATCTGCAGCATTGAAGACGGTACACCATCTGCAGCGTTGAAGACGGTACACCATCTGCTACGTTGAAGGTGGTACTACCATCTGCGGCGTTGAAGGCAGTACTACCATCTATGGTGTTGAAGGCGGTACTACCATCTACAGCATTGAAGACGGTACACCATCTGTGGCGTTGAAGATGGCACTACCATCTGCAGCGTTGAAGATGGTACACCATCTGCGGCGTTGAAGACGGTACGCCATCTGCTACATTGAAGGTGGTACTACTGTCTGCAGCATTTAAGACGGTACACCATCTGCTACGTTGAAGGTGGTACTACCATCTGCAGCATTGAAGATGGTACACCATCTGCTACATTGAAGGTGGTACTACTATCTGCAGCATTGAAGACGGTACACCATCTGCTACATTGAAGGTGGTACTACCATCTGCAGCATTGAAGATGGTACACCATCTGCTACGTTGAAGGTGGTACCATCTGCAGCGTTGAAGGCAGTACTACCATTTACAGCGTTGAAGGCGGTACTACCATCTACAGCATTGAAGGTGGTACACCATCTGCGGCATTGAAGGCGGTACACCATCTGCGGCCTTGAAGACGGTACACCATCTGCGGCCTTGAAGACGGTACACCATCTGCTACGTTGAAGGCGGTACTACCATCTGCGGCGTTGAAGGCGGTACTACCATCTACAGCGTTGAAGGTGGTACTACCATCTACAGCATTGAAGACGGTACACCATCTGTGGCGTTGAAGGTGGCACTACCATCTGCAGCGTTGAAGATGGTACACCATCTGCGGCGTTGAAGACGGTACACCATCTGCTACATTGAAGGTGGTACTACTATCGGCAGCTTTGAAGACGGTACACCATCTGCTACGTTGAAGGTGGTACTACCATCTGCAGCATTGAAGACGGTACACCATCTGCTACATTGAAGGTGGTACTACTATCTGCAGCATTGAAGATGGTACACCATCTGCTACGTTGAAGGTGATACTACCATCTGCGGCATTGAAGGCAGTACTACCATTTACAGCGTTGAAGGCGGTACTACCATCTACAGCATTGAAGACGGTACACCATCTGCGGCATTGAAGACAGTACACCATCTGCGGCGTTGAACGTGGTACTACCATCTGCGGCATTGAAGACGGTACACCATCTGCGGCGTTGAAGACGGTACACCATCTGCTACATTGAAGGTGGTACTACCATCTGCAGCATTGAAGACGGTACACCATCTGCTACGTTGAAGGTGGTACTACCATCTGCAGCGTTGAAGGCGTTACTACCATTTACAGCTTTGAAGGCGGTGCTACCATCTACAGCATTGAAGGTGGTACACCATCTGCGGCATTGAAGGCGGCATACCATCTGCGGCGTTGAAGGTGGTACACCATCTGCAGCATTGAAGACGGTACACTATCTGCAGCATTGAAGGTGGTACACCATCTGCAGCATTGAAGGCAGTACTACCATTTACAGCGTTGAAGGCTGTACTACCATCTGCAGCATTGAAGGCGGTACTACCATTTACAGCGTTGAAGGCTGTACTACCATCTGCAGCATTGAAGGCAGTACACCATCTGCAGCATTGAAGGCGGTACTACCGCCTGCGGCGTCAAAGGCAGTACTTCCATCTGCAGTGTTGAAGGAGGTACTACCATCGGCGACTTTGAAGGAGGTAACTTCCATCTGCAGCTTTGCTCCAACAGAAACCTCTGCTCCCAGTTGGTCCCTCTCTTCACTTGGTCTGCGTGCAGGAGTTGCTCTGCCTCTCTGTCTTGAGCTGCAGCCATCAAGGAGAGGACCACACGGCCCAAGAGCAGCCTCTTTCATTCTACTCATCTCGTCATTCTCCTCAGATTTAAAAATGTAAATTACATTCTAGTTACTGCCCTGCTTTCGAAGCCTGGGGTGGCTTCTCCACCCATGTATCAGTCTCCACCCTGACTTGCTCAGCCCCTTATTCCCGGAGCCTGCTTCCCTCTCCATGTGTCTCTGCTGTTCACTCAGGCCACACAGAGCTTCCGTTCTGTGCCCGCACCTGCCTCTTTCTCATTGGAAGGCCTTTCTTGTGCTAGTATGTGTGCTCTTGTCCTTGGTTTTCACATGCTGGCCCCTCCTTGTCTCAGACCTCAGCTTAAAGCCACTTTCCTGGAGAGGTCATCTCTGAGCATCCTGTCACTGTCACAGCACCTTATTTAAGAGATTCATGCAGTCTTTATTACCATCTGATACATGATCTGTTTGTTGACCGTCCAGAGAATGTGAGCTCTGCAAGTTAAGCTTTCTTTCCTGTGTCATTGCTGTGTTTTTATTGCACTTTTCTTTAAAAATGCTTGGTGTGTAGAAGACTCTTGGGAACCATCTCATGAATAATTGAATGAGCTGAAGAGAACTATTTTTGTAAAAAATTTTAGTTTCTTTAAAAAATGCGAAGTCCACAGAGAAGACTTGGTAAATAGAGGAAAAAAGTAAAAATGAAAACCTTCATCCACAATTTATGGTTGACCTTTGGTAGTAACATCGTGAGGGATCCTTTTCTCAACTCTAGTATGTATCTATATGCTCATATATACATTTTAACACAGTTAGATATATTTGTCTCCACACACACACTTTTCCTGCTTTCCTCAGCTGTTGCTTTGTGAGCATTTTTTAGTAATTAAAAATAAATGAAAACCATTTTGTGGTATATAAGCATATAACCGTATCATAATTTCTTTATCCATTGCCCTCTGACTAGTCACAACAGTTTGTTAATAGTCTTTAAGTAGTATTGCTATCTGTTGACCAGCAATTTTGTTTCTATAAATCTTATGGAGGGATTCATTGTATGTGAATATATACATATTTACAGGCACAATTGTCTTGTCACTCTCTACTGATGAACATTTTAAATGATGTAATAAAGCATTAGTTTAATGAAGTATGATGAATAGAAAACAGAATGTTACATGGCCATTACAAGTGTGTAATATAAAAACAAGTGATAGTGTAAATATTTATAACATCTGAAAAAGTGTTTTTTTTACCAAGTAGATTATATAATCCCATTTATGGAAAGCATACAGTAGTAATCACTAAGTGGTAAGAGAAACATGACTTTTTATTTGCTACGTGTGCTCAATTTCTATAGTAAACATGTAATATGAAATTTTTTTCTACAGTGAATTTCATTATATAAAATTTTTTTATTCTCTGATGATTTCCTTAATGTAGGTAACTCATCCTTTTGTCTGCCTACAAATTCCATACAAATGGCTAGAATTGTATACTTTCTAGAAGTATTTAAATATGCTGTATTGGGTTACCATATAATACATGTTTTCCTGGGTGTTGATGAAGGGCAAGAAAGAAGCCAGTTTAGCTACTGAATTCATTAGATATTGAGCTATAATGAGTAGGATTTCTGAGTCTATTCTGAAAAATGATAAACTCCAAAAGACTCTGCCTCCTCTTCTTATACCTGTTTTCTTATCTCTCATCCTGATTTTAAAAGAACTTGTTGGAATCAAATTACTATTAATGTACTTTTGGAAAAATCATTGTGTCTGTGTACCACTTTTTTAAGCCTGTATTTTACCGCCAACTCCTAAATTTTTGAGAATGAAAGTGGCTTCGTGTCTTACTATGCTTTAATACCAGTGTGCTTTGGGCACGTCCCCGTGGACATAGTGTCCCCGTGGACATAGTGTCCGCAGCATTGCTCTGTTCTTTCCTGGTCTGTGTTCTTGCCCACCATGCTTGGCGGCCCTGTATCAGATCTGCTTGCAACACTGAAGTGTCAAGCTTGGTTGGTCTGTGGTGTTCTAAAGGCAGGATGCTTTCTCTCCACACAGAGCACTACTAGGCTTGACAGCGACAGAGTGTCATCTGCCACCAGCACAGCTGAGCGGGGGATGGTGAAGCCAATGATCAGAGTAGAGCAGCAACCAGATTATCGCAGGCAGGAAAGCAGGTAGGAAATACGTCATTTTTAAATTGTGAAAGTAATGAAAGTATTCCTAAAGAAGGGTTGGGATAATGATTAATGAATTGATAAAGGTTCAGCTGACATTTCTAGAATGTTAGTAATATTTTAAGGGCATTTCTTTTCTGTGTTACTACATTGAAAGAAATACTTTACCAATAATTATATCCCTTGCTTATATGCCACAGTGTTATCAGATTGAAATAGGAGGCACACTGAATTAAAATGTTGCCATTTAAAATTTGCTACTTTGTAAAAACATAGAGAAAGGAAGTTTTTATAGGATGATTTTTATATTTAGAAAAATATAGTCCTTTCACCTATTTCTAGAAGAAATCTTCATGTGTTTAAAAATATACAAGGTCAAAAATGATTTTGAAACAGATTTTACGAATTGTAGGTGCCGTATTATGTCTTGTGCTCTGATGTGCCCGTGTCTCCCCGTGGGGATAGATGGAGGATGAATTATATTTTTTCTTCTGACATTGTTCCTGCCTGATGTTTCTGGGCAGAGAACCATCTTTTGTTATTTCCTTGTTTTGTGATTTTTAATATTTGTCACCTTAGTCAGAATCTTATTTCTTTGTGACCTCCAGAATTACTTAAATGTTGCAGAGTAATGTCTTAGTCTTAAATGTGGCTGGTAAATAACAGATACTGACTAGTAGAAACTGCAGCATGATTTAGTGCTGAGCACCTCTCCTCCAGAACTCTGCATGAACTCAGACAGAAATAGGGGAATAGTGCATGACTTTTATGGCATTCTTATTATCAGCAGTGAAACTGGCAGCATTCTTCTTTTTGGGCTTTTCAGATGGATTTTTGAAGAGGCCATTCTGTTTCCTTCAAAGATCCAGTCAGTGAGGTAGTTAGATGAGGCAGGTGACTTCCCCAGGGTCACCTATCACTTCAGTCACAGGTGATGAATGTACAGTTCTTCAATTTGCCAACTTCCAGCAGAGGGCACTGGATATTGCAGGATTTGAATATCACTCATCAGTTATTAAATATGTAGACTCATAAGGGAATCTCAGAGTTTAACTTTATTTGGTTCTAATGCAAGCTTTTTGTTGGCTATGTGAATTTTATTACATGTGATAATAAATAGTTTACTTTCTGTGTTTGTACTTGTTTTGGGTGGTGTATGAAGGAATGGGATGTTCAGAATGGTAAATTGGCATTGTAAGGAATGCCTCTGTGTATTTATAAGGTGTGACAGAGAAGTATGAATCATAGTTCCTAGCTCATAAATATTTGAAGGAGTGAATGAACTCACAAGAGGGTGGATTAGGATAATGCTTTTAGTATTTTCAAAATTAACGATTAATAAATGTAGTGTCAAAATAGTCGTATCATGCTTAATTGTATGTCAGAAATTATTTTTTACCATGACACACAATTTAAATTTTTTACAAGGTAAGATTAGTTTGCAGAGTTACTAAAGACTTTAATTATAAAATATGTTGCTTTGTTGCTGTTACAGTAGTGATGAAAACAGATGAGCCTTTCTGCACCATTCTTTGTTTTTCACATAGGCAATTGTAATAAGCACTACTTAATTTAACTGATGTAGTCATGAAAAAATTTAAATGTATTTAAAATACTAATTGTAGTGAAGAAAAAAACCCTTTTGAATGGAGGGAATGACTTTTAATTGTCACTGTGTTTTATTTTTTTAATTTTTTCAGTGACAATGTAAATTCATTTTTTACCAGATTTCTTCAAATATAATTAGTAAAGTTTATTCAGGCTCACTTTATGAGATATATAACTGCCTAACTGCAATTTTAGATGTCTATAAAATGGTAACGTAAGGGAGATGTGCTGAAATAATCGAACATTTAAATTACATTGTTTATAGCAGCATTTTATTCTGAATTATTGAGTTAAATCATTAGATCATAAATGAAATCAACTCTGAAGCATATAAATTGATAAAAAGAATATTGGTGGTTATATTTATTATTAGCAAAATATTTGGTTATATTTTTATTATATTCACTATTATATTCATTTCTCCTTATTCATTTTTTGGTGCATGGAGAAGATGATGATAGAGGGAAGAGATCAGTTTGCTGTTGAAAAAAATTAGCCAGTCTGTAAATTCTTATAAACGTGTAATCATCATAAGTTACTCTTTTTATTTATTTTTGAAGGAAAGTTTTTTATTACCTGTGTTAACTTATTTAATGAGTGGACCAGCAATTCCAAATACTTAATTCTGCCGGTTCATTACCAGTTGTCTGAGATGAACAGGCACACATTGCTGCTGAAATGACTTGTTGTTTAAGTCACTAATGAGTATTTCTGATTCAAATATAAGAACTGTGTTGACTTTCTGTTTCACCAAATAAGATTTATTTGAGTAAGTATTGGTCTCAGGTTAAGTCAATATTTAACCCAGTAGAGATGTTCATCACCGTGTAAGTCGTTATATTCCCCACAATTTAAATTTTAGTTAAGTTTGCAGAAAGACAAAACACATTCCCTGGCTTTTATTGTCAGTTCAAGTTTTCTTATTTTTTCAAAGACATTTTTGAGAATTCTTCCTGATAATCTGTTAAAGCTGAAATAAAATGATAAAGATATTGTGAAATGTTAAGGAAGCTAATCACTTTACTGTGTGTTTAGTTGGTTTTTGGTAAATATTGTATATAAAATATAACTAGTAGCAAACAGAATAATAAGTAAATGACTTGAAGTTCTAATCACGTGTCTAAGTGAAAGGATATTTAAGCTGAGCATTATTCATTGAGAAAAGTATTATCTACAAAGATAAGGAAATCTAAACTGGATTTGTAACTTAGTGTCTTACACATTTTAAAGAGTCTGTGCCTAGCAGTGGCTTTCATAATGCTTTTTAACTGAAGTTACAACACAAGATTATATTTTATATTGTGCTGTGGTGAACACACACAAACAAATGTATATATTCAACTGAAAGAGGAGATTCGCAAAATAACCTTCATGTTTATGCCCTGCCAATGGGTGATACACACTGTTTGAAGAATATTTATATTTATATAAATATGTAAATATTTATATAAATATTATATAAATGTGTATATATTTATATAATATTTATATAGAGATAGAAATGAACCTAAGTTTTGAATTAATTTGATCTGAATACCTGGAAATAAATAAACATTAGCACGATGCTAGTTTTTATAAATGTTCGAAATTATAGTTTCTTTATATTTATAGTTTTTGACAGTTCCTTATTTGTGTAGTGTCTAGACTAAATGGTGGAAGGGACCGGAAATTTGTATTATGTGACCATAAGAAGAAATATAAGTGAGTAGAACATCTTTTTATAAGGCATGCGTCACTGTAAGCACTGGAAAATGATGATCCTAATGGCTGAAGGAGACTTACAGTGGTCAGCTTGTCTAACCCAGTGTCAGTAGAGAAAGACAAAGTCCAGGGCTTAGGAAGCTTTTCTCTTTCAGTATAAGAACTCAGTTTCAAGCCTGGCATAGTTAGTTTTTCTTTGTGTCACTTAATACTTTCTTTTCACTGTTACCTGAGCCATAGCTGTAGCAGATGCAAGACAGCCTGATCCCTGTACTAGACATGAAGTGTTCATTAATAATCCAGAATTGCAACAGATCTGTTCTCGTGGCGGCAGCATATACTTCAAGAAACTAACCTTCTTAGATGAGTCATGATAAGATCACTTCCAATATGTTATATGATTAAGCTACATCTGAAAATGAGATATTTTATTATTTTCTATTTGAAAGATCAGTATATAGATTTAAAAAGTAGTTGTAGAAATCAACACAGGTCGTCAGTGATATTGTTAGCCCTGTGACCTTACTATAAGTGATGTTAGCTTTCTTCCTTTAGAACACAGGAAGCTTCTGGGCCTGAACTGATACTGCCTGCAAGCATTGAGTTCAGGGAAAGTTGTGAGTAATTTCAGATTTCATTGTTAGTGAATTATTTCTTGATCCATTTTACTCCATCTGATTCTCACATTTTTTTTCCTGTTTTCTTCATTTTTGAAATCTTTCCACAGCTGAAGATTCATTCTTATCTGCGATTATAAACTATACTAATAGCTCTACAGTCCACTTTAAGTTGTCCCCTACATATGTATTATATATGGCATGCCGGTATGTATTGTCCAACCAGTACAGACCTGACATCAGCCCTACAGAGCGCACGCACAAAGTCATTGCAGTTGTCAACAAGATGGTGAGCATGATGGAAGGCGTCATCCAGGTATGTTCCAGCCGGCGAGCCGTGCTCATCTGGTGATTGTGGTTGTCATTGTTAAACCAGTGAACTCAGTTTCTTTAAGGCTTCTGATTTGGTTCCATGTTTGACTCTAAAGATTTTTTTCTAAAATAGAAGTTATATAAATATGGGAAAATGTATACCTTTAAAAAGTCGAAAGGAAATGTAAGCTTTTTTCTATTTTATTTTCACTGTAAACTTCTTACGTGAAGGTAACTGTGTGTGCTAACATAATAATTATGAGAAAAGGCCCTTCAGTTTGCAGTAATAGTTGTGAGAACATGTTTGAGACTGTTGCAGGCTTTTGTAGAATTTTTCTGTAAGTAATTTGTTGAGATGAAATTCATATAGTATCAACCATTTTGAAGTGAACAATTGAGTAGCAGCCAGGCGTTCACAATGTTGTGCAGCCACACCTCTTGTCGGTTCCAGAGCATCTCCATCACCTCACAGTGACGCCCCCTCAGTAGCTCCTGCTCTTTTCCTTTTCCCCTATCCCCTGGTAACACCTTCTTAGACGTTTTAGAAATGGTTATTAAAAGGCACTTGCTCTTTATAATGAGCCTAGACGTTGGTAGTAATTGTCTGGGCTTTTTGATAGCACGTCTATACGTGTAATGGACATCATAACATACTTCTCACTCAAAGTGAAATTCCATCACAAATCTGTTTGCAAAATTTCAGAAGTTAAGGATATTTTGTTGATAGAATGGTTTGGCCTTTTTATGTACTTCCTGTCCTGATCTACAACTGATAAGGTTTTCAAAGCAGTTTTTCATGTCTACAGATAATTTGAAGATTTAATCCTTAAAGTTCTTCAGTGTACAGATTTTTCCACTTTTCCTAAATCACTTGTCAGTGTTGTTATTCAGCTTAATAGAACTCTTTAATTATATAATGTTAAGTAACATAGATGGGTTGGTTGCTTTTCTCCTGGAAGGATCATTTGAGGGAAACTAAGATGATCTTTTAGTTCCCTCAGAATTGTTTGCAAAGGCCAGAATTTTTCAAGAAATGTTTCTTTTATATTTGAGTGATTAGCATGAGTTTGATGGGGTTATGCTTCTTTTACCCAAGCTAGACAATAGGTAAAAAACAGTCATTTTATTTTGATACCATTTGTTACTCTCATATCATTATTTTATAAACAAACATGAATTTCCTTTTCAGTTGTCATCCAAAGCCATTGTCTGTCTTCTATCATGCTTGGACTTACAAAGCTTGTTTCAAATTGTGAGACACCTGTCATATCACTACCCGTGATAGCCTTTTGCTTATTGATGTGAACTAGTCAGTGAAATTGTCACTCTCAAACAAGTCTTTTAAACTTCAGATTTAGGTTTAGTATACAATTTGAGAAATCTTAAAGTAGTGAAAAGAACTATAGTAGTGAGTAATTTAAATTCCATTTTCAAAAAGCAAAGAATTTACTCCCTTTACTATAGGTATAATGTAAGTTCTTTATACACTTTGAAATTCTCTTTTTTTTTGAGCTTTTATTTTGATTGTTTCTTGGTCTTGCCTGTCTCTTCCATTCCTATTAATTAACCTAGGGGAATGGACTTTCACTTTATTAGGTACCTGTAAGTAGTAGGCACACCATATCATTGAAAGATGTTCACAAGTCCTTCCATTGGAAATCTTTTGAAGAGATCAGTGTGCTTGTGTGTCTTTATTGTAGCATCATTTTTATTGATAAACTCTAAAAATTCAGTTAGTGATTGTGCCAGTGGTAAGAACATTAAATGAATCCTTTAGGTCGTATACTTCTAAAGGTGCTTCAGAACCATAAATGAAAATGTTATTTTGAGAATAACATAACTAAATGTTGTACCTTCATGTCGTACCTTCATATTAGTGTTTTGATTTTTTTAAACTATCATGATTGTTTACAAGTTTCTTTCTCTCGTTCTGCTTGATTTCCCCTCGTCTGTTTTTCTCCAGGAAGTAGACCAGGTTGACCAGGTAGGACATCTGCTGGGAGCTGATCCTAGCTGTGTTGCTTAGCCAAGTTTCTCATGCTGCTCCCATGTCAAATACAGTAATACAACAGCTGGACTGAACAGCTCATAACACTCATTCAGCAACTGAGACATGCAGTACTAAAACTCTTTTTGACTGTGCAACCTTTATTGGCATTTCATAATTTCTGCTTAATGCACTTCAGTGTGGATATGAAATGACAAAAGTTCTGTTTCTTCTCTTTATTATTTATCCTTGGTTCCTATCCTTTGGATCTCATCTGAGGTTGCCTGGCCTGCACATGTGGTCGGGAGAGGATGTGATAGATCAGTACTTGATACTGAGTTGCATGGTGTCCAAGCCAGTGACTACAAGTATCAGGGTGGCTGTGGGTAACCATGGATACCTGTATGTATACGGCACAGATTACCAGATAATGCACGGTCTACAATTTGGTGTTAAATTATTTTATATCTCCATTTCTTCGCTGATTCCATCTATAAATTGTAGCTAACTGAATCCATATGTCTGTGTACATGAATCCTAAGAAGTAGTTGCAGTGGTTATTTACTTCCCATTGCTATGTACGCACCCAAATTGTTTTGCAAGTATCTGGTATCTGTGGTAAATACCTTGGTGAACTGGGAAGGTACTGGTCTATCTTCAACAGCTTTTCAAGAGCATTCCTTTATATTTGTATTATTTTTGTTTATTCTCTGTTGCTTATGGAAATGTGTTCTGTCTACAGAAACAGAAGAATATTGCAGGGGCACTTGCCTTCTGGATGGCAAATGCATCTGAACTTCTCAACTTCATTAAGCAAGACCGAGACCTTAGTCGAATCACGTTGGATGCCCAAGATGTTTTAGCACATTTGGTTCAAATGGCATTTAAGTAAGGAACACATTTTTGAAGATAGCACTATTCTTTAGATAATTAAGTCATTGTTTTCTTACTCAGTTTGCCAAACTAATTTTAAGATTTCTATTTATCTTAATTGAAGATGAATATCAAGAAACATACATTTTTGCAAAATGTATTAACTACATTTAGTTATATATTTATTATACTGAATTCAGTGAGCTATGTTTCAAGATTCCTAAGAGTAAAACTCATATTTTTTTAATGGAAAATGTTTTTTCTAAGAGTCCAGATTGTTTCACGTGTGATAACATGTCTGACAATAGCTGTCATGCTGAGATTACTTAAATTGTTTATGTATTTCCAGATACTTGGTTCACTGTCTTCAATCAGAACTTAATAATTACATGCCAGCCTTTCTAGATGACCCTGAAGAGAACAGTCTGCAAAGACCAAAAATAGGTTAGGATGTTTTTTTTTTGGCTCTCCCTCTATCCCTCTCTTCCTTCACATTTCACATCATTTTAATGCTTAGTATAGGTAAGGGGAGGTATTTTTAAAATAAATGGGATGTCCTTTTGGGTTTAGCAGTCTTTAATAAATTTTAACTGTTTGTTTTGTTTACAAATTGTTCTCATTTTGGTGTGTCATGCTGGCCATACTCTTAAAAGTTGCTTAAGGTGAAGTTATGATGTTACATGTAATTAGTTAATAACTATAGGTAGTTTAAGATCACACCACTGTTCCCTCTGAAATGAAGTTGGTATTTTTAAAGTGATTAAACAGCACTTAATACCATGGGTACCGTTATCTAAATTTGCTGCACATTGTCATTCTTCCTGGATGACATTTTGGTCCTCTGTCCTCTCATTCTGTCTGGGCAGATGACGTGCTGCACACGCTCACAGGAGCCATGTCCTTGCTACGACGCTGCAGAGTCAATGCCGCCCTGACCATTCAGCTCTTCTCTCAGCTCTTCCACTTTATCAATATGTGGCTGTTCAATAGATTGGTGACTGACCCAGATTCAGGGCTGTGCTCACATTACTGGGGCGCGATCATCCGTCAGCAGCTGGGCCATATTGAAGCATGGGCTGAGAAGCAGGGGCTGGAGCTGGCTGCGGACTGTCATCTGAGCAGGATCGTGCAGGTGAGTGCTGGTTGCCACTCCCTGGCTCCTGTGCTTTTAAAGGTATCTGATCTTTATGATGGGCAAGAGCTTCGATGCAGCAAAACCTCAGTACCCTCTTTTTGGGGTTTTTCATGTGTACAGATAATGAAGCAGTGCTGTGTTAGTGCCTGGGCAACCATAACAAAGTATAGATTATTTTTTCACAGCATTAATTATATGCCATAATTTTTACTGTTAAGTACTTATGCCTGAATAAATCAAAGAAAATGATTGCTTATAGGTACATAAAAATTCAGAGTTAGAAATGATATCAAACAACCAGATTGTTCACATGGTTTGTTTTCTGGTAATTTAATGTACACAAGCTTTGTTTCATATACAAAGTTATTTAAAATATTGTGTGAAATTACCTTCAGTCTGTGTGTATAAGGTATATATGAAACAAATTTTATATTTAGACTTGGGCCCCATTCCCTAAGATAACTCATATATGTAAATACTCCAAAATTGGAAAAATACCCATATCTGAAACACTTCTGGTCCCAAGCATTTTGGGTAAGGGATACTGAACCTGTGTCAGAAACTGAGTAGCTTAAGAGTTGCTCCATAGCCGTGGAGGCCAGAAGTTGAAATCAAGGTGTCAGTTGTTGGTTCCTTCTGGGGGCTCTGGGGAAAGGATCTGTTCCAGGCCTTCCCGCACCCCAGCGTCCGGTGGTTTGCACACCATTTGTGATCTTTGGCCTGTAGATGCATCATCCCAGCCTCTACCTTTGTCTTAGGGCATTTTCCTTGTTTGCCTGTCTGTGTCCAAAAGACTGCATTTTATAAGAACACCAGACATTGGATCAGCTAATCTTGTTTTAAGTTGATTATTCCCTGTAAAGATACTAGCACCAAAAAAGATAACATTCTGAGTTACTGGGGGTTAGTTCTGCAATATAATTTTTCGGGGAACACAGTTCAACTCATAAGTGGTAACTAGTTGACTAAATATCCTTAAAGGGTTCTTTATGTTGAGATCAGTAAGATGTATTTCAGAATGCTTTAAAATGGATGATAATTAACCCTTAAGAATACAAAGCAAATCATATCCCAGTGGCTTAACCAGCTCTGAGGAAATTTCTTAGATAGAAAAAACTAGGAGGTGATGTTTTGTGATTAGTGAAATGATTCATCTGCAGCTTAAAAACGTAGGACTTTTTTTTTTAGTATTGTATATAATTTTTTTTCTTGATATCTTATTTTAAAAAGAGATTTTAATATAGAGGCTAGTCAGCTGGTTTTAAAAAGTCAGTGCAATGAAACCATTCAAACACCAGTAATAGGTCATCTCAATGGTCATGTAAATGTTTAGCTTTTGAAGACAGTTTTTAAAATGCCTTATAAACATAATCTAATTATACATACATGTCATAATAAAATTAAGAGGGATCTAAAAAGATGCCTTTTGCAAGATAATACTTCTAGTTCAATTTAATGTATTTAGTTATGTAAATGGAAGTCTGTTTCGTGAAATCATCCTGCATTTCAAAATTAAATTAGGAAGTTACAGTTTTGTGAATATTACATAAAGGATATTTATGAAATAACTTTAAAATTATGATATTTTTGTCCTTTATTCTTTTACATAGGCAACGACTTTGCTTACCATGGATAAGTATGCACCTGATGACATTCCAAATATAAACAGCACCTGCTTTAAGTTAAATTCACTGCAACTTCAAGCCTTATTACAGAACTATCACTGTGCACCTGATGAGCCTTTTATCCCAACAGTAAGTGGATGGTGACACATTACCATACAGTGCGGGACGTGTTTGCATGGGGCAACTTGGATTAAAAAAAAACAAAAGGAAATCTTATTTAATTAGTTGACTTCTTTATTCTCATCTTAACAAGATCATTTTCATGTCTGAGTTAAGAGTTCAGTGAAATGGCCGGGCGCGGTGGCTCACGCCTGTAATCCCAGCACTTTGGGAGGCCAAGGCGGGTGGATCACGAGGTCAAGAGATCGAGACCATCCTGGTCAACATGGTGAAACCCCGTCTCTACTAAAAATACAAAAAATTAGCTGGGCATGGTGGCGTGTGCCTGTAATCCCAGCTACTGAGGAGGCTGAGGCAGGAGAATTGCCTGAACCCAGGAGGCGGAGGTTGTGGTGAGCCGAGATCGCGCCATTGCACTCCAGCCTGGGTAACAAGAGCGAAACTCCGTCTCAAAAAAAAAAAAAAAAAAAGAGTTCTGTGAAAAAAACAGAAACTACACTCCTAAGCAGAAAGGGATTGTATTCAGGAAGTCCAGTTCCTGGGGAATCACCAGGAGGACTGGAGAGCAGGCGAGGTGGCTGCGCGGGACTGCTGCGCTCCGGCGTGTGTTGCAGCGACTGAGTGCTAGAGGGCGGCTGCCTCTGTCAGAGGCCGCCCCCTTACAGCCTGGCTGAGAGAGGCTTGCCATGGTAAAATCTCCCCTCTCATCCAGAATAGAGCCAGGAGTTTTGGCATGCCTGCATCTCAATAGGAGGAACAGAGGGTGAGAAGCAGAGTCTACCACTGTTAGCTGTTTGTAAAAAGAAATGCTGTAGACTTACATATGAGTCATTTATGTAAGTGGATGGATGGATTGACCAGTATTGAGTTTATGCCAACAAGACATGCACAAAACAGCCAAAAACTGGAAATCACCATATCAAAAGTACAAGATAAACATAAGTCATGTCATAGTCAAATAAATACTACATTGTAGTGAGAAAGAATGAATCCCAGTTAAAACAACTGGGATGAATAACATGACATAATATGGAAAAAAAAAAAAGCAGCCCCATGCAAAGTACGCACAAGACACTTCCATCTCTGTACACTTTAGGAACAGTCAAAAGTACTTTCTGGTAATAGAAGCCCGAAAATCAGGGGACAGTGGTAGGGAATGGGGTGGCTACTCAGGTGATGACGTTCTCTTTCTTGAATGGAAGTGAATGTGGCAGTTGAGCTGGCATTTTATTGATCTGTACAGTTAGGATTTGCGAGCTTTCCTATGTGTGGGTAATACATCAAAAGTTTTTGAATAAAAATCACCCATGAACTCATAGTTCAGAAATAACCTCTATATATTGATATATTTCCAAACTGGCAAAAATACCATGTAGATATTTTATCCTGGTTTTTTATATTTAACATTGTGTGGGCTTTTCCTTGTATCATTAAACATTCTATACAAATAGTTATTAACAACAGAAAATTAAAGAATTGTACAAGGAAAAAAATTAACTAGAAAAATTAACTTCTTGTGGTTGAACAGTTTCTTTTTATTTAAAGCTACAAGTTACTGAAAATTAATAATTAGAATCTTGGTTCATTTGTAAGATGTGTGCCCCCTGCCCGTGAGTTTGCTGGCTTGAGAAAGTTGATGATGAGTATACCAGTGGGGTCTGCACTCCCTCCGGAACTCTGCGTCTTGTCTGCGTGCGTGCGTGCGTGTGTGTGTGTGTGAGATAAGCCATGCTGCACCAACCACACAGGCTTTGACTGGTTGTTGGTCAAATGCACCAGGCAGTGAGCATCTCTTTTTAGTTCTGCGTTTGTTTTCCAAACAGGATCTCATAGAAAATGTAGTGGCCGTGGCTGAGAACACTGCTGATGAGCTGGCCCGCAGCGATGGCAGGGAGGTGCGGCTGGAGGAGGATCCTGACCTGCAGCTGCCTTTTCTTTTGCCAGAAGATGGTTATTCCTGTGATGTTGTCAGAAACATTCCAAATGGTTTACAAGAATTTTTAGACCCACTGTGCCAGAGAGGTAAATACAGTCTGCACGCTAGAGTCTGAGCTACGCCCCAGTTGGAAGCGAGCATTTTCTTCATTGTCCACCTCATAGGGTAGTCCTCTTGTGTGGGAGTGCACCCTCCTGCTGTCTGGAGAACTTTTCTTGGTGATGGAAGATCAGAAGTGTTGAGACAGAGAGCCCTTGGGGATGTTGGGTGACCCTGTGGTGAGCATCTGCTCTGCCCACTTGGTGTCGTGGTTGCATTTTCTGCCTGGGCTGATAACAAGGGACCTTTTATTGTTTTTTCCTTCATAGTATTTTATGAGCATAGGAGGTGGAATCATTAGCACTAAATTGTAAACTTTGTTGGTACCAGCATAGCAGTTGAGCAACACAAGGTTTGGAAGCAGACTGCCTGCATTCTAAACCCACCTCTGTCACCTAGAGGCTGTGCTGCCATTGTCAGGTGACCTTGGCCTCAGTTTTTTTTTTCTGTGAAATGGGCATGTTGATAGTACCCAGCTAAGAGATTGTTGGGAGGGCTGAATGGGTTCCTGTGGAGCATGCGGAACTCTAGCTCAGAGCCATTGGGTATGAGTGCTGCTGTTGCTGCTGCTGTGGCCACTAGTGCCACGCTGGCCTATGCCTGTGTGCTGGCAAGACCCAAACTCCAGCATGTCGTGTGCTTTCTATGCGAAGGGCTTATATGGCCCTGAAAGGTTTGAGTACAACTGATTTCCCGGGTTTTATTATATCACCTTCACTACATCTTCTTGTGATCTATACTGATTGAAAACACCACAGTTATTTCTGATGTATGAGGTTTTATGTTAGACCAAATTTTAATCCCACTCTGCCACTTTTTCATAAAGTAGAAAACAGCTCAGATGAGTAGAAAGCTAGACCCAAAGTCTAGGGGTTTGTTTAAACAAACAGAAATTATAACAATAAAGGTTTTATGCCCATAAATATATAAATCTGATGAGTGTGGTTTTTAACTTCAGTGATTGTTTCACTCTCCAAAATAAATATGTTTTTATACCTTTGAAGATCTCTTCAAAGTTTCAGATAGTTAAAAATCATTTTACAAAGGCTGCTTCTTTAATGACGTGTGTTTCCAAAAGGTGCTCAAGTCCCAGTGCCATTCTCAGAGAAGCAGAGAGAGAGGCCAAGGTGAGATCAGGCTAGGGTGAGGTCTTTCAGCAAAGAGTGTGTGAAGAAAAAGGGGTTAGGAGCAGGAGTAGGCAGGGAGAGCCTTCAGTCGTGGTACAGATGCACCTGTGATGAGGTTGAGGAAGGAGGGCTGGACTGCAGTGCCCTGAGAAATGGAGTGGACCTGAACTAGCCACAGAGCATTAGTTCGTGCTCTGCCACTCCCTGGGAAAAGCCTCATGCCACACGGTGGTGGACCCAGAGGCAGCAGCACAGCTTCCAAGCAGCAAGCACTCGGCCACCACAGGGCTGTTTTGAGGTATCCTTCCAGGTGTGCCGCCCCTCAGCAAGTCAGAAACCATCACCAGCGTTCCTTCCCAAAGGCTTCCCTCGGGCACGTGTAACGAAGGCCCTAGTCCTCAGATGATCTCCTCAAATATTGCCGTGCTACCTTAAAACCATCGTTTGCAGATGGCTGTCTCCTGCCAGGAACTCTTCCCCTATCACACGTGGGATTAATTTAAACCTTTGAGCTTGACATCATCTTCCAGCCTTTCTTCTCCACCTTGAAATACGCACACTATATATGTTATTAACATTGAACCGTCTATGATATCTGTGCTGTTACCTTTGTCAGTACTCCTGCTGTTGAACTTACTAATTTATTTTCTTAATCCTAATCAGGTGTCCCTTTAACTGGAAAACCTCAGCGTCGTCTTAACAACTAACATGCCTCCCCCAGGACTGATTCTTAGATACTTGCTTCTGTTTTTGCACTGGTCATATTGTGTTTGAAACGTGTGCTGCTTGCTGTCTGTCTTCCATGTGGAGTGAGGGTAGGCCCCGAGAGCGTGCACTTTCTGTGACCCTCAGCACCTTGCATGGGCCTGCTGTATGTTCAGTGCTCAGTAACTAGTTGTTTTTATGATTATTACCTTGCAAATAAGCATGCAAGGTGACTACTAGCATTTTGCAAATGTGTATAGTTTATAGTTTACAAGCAACTGCCAGTTTTATCACACGTGCCATAGGGCAGATCCTCGCCAACTTGGAAATAGCTCTTAACTTAATGATAGAGTGTTCTTTGTGACTTCCTCGTAAACTCTCCTAAACAATTAATTTTAGGACATATGTGATATTTCCATGATCTTGGCATTACCACATTATTTCATATGTGTTAGATGATTGTACATGTAGCTTAGTACATGGATGCCTTTAGAAGTATTACAAAGAATCAAGTGTTTCCTTTTACGACATCAGTGTTGTTTATGTTTCACACTCAATTCTTTACAAGCTGATTAAAGAATTACTTTGTTCCCTCAGTGTACGTTCCTTTGTTGTCTTGATACAATACGGTTCTGTGAGACAAGACTGTGCCACCAGCCAGGACGTATGCCTGGTCTGAGCGAAGTACCTTCCTTAAGCTAGTAAAGCAAAACCTCTATTTGTAGAATGGTCCAGAGCTTGTTATGGAAATGCGGCCCTTGAAAAAAATAAGAAAATAATTTATAGTTGTTCAGATTTCAAAATCCTGATAAATTAGTGATTCCCTCAAACGTGAGAAAGAGAAGCAAGTTGTAGGTTATATTTTCATGAATCTGAATTGAAATAGTGATTTCAAAAATGAGAAAGTAAAACTTAAGTAAAATTACTTTGTATACTTATTTTAATGGAATATGTTTTTGACATCTCTTTTTTTGCCTACCTTAAATAACCTCATGATTGTCCACAAAGAAGTCAGAATTTTCTCCTTGTTGAAGCACCGGAGTGCATGAGACTGTCAGCTACTGCCAGGGAAAACTCCCCGCCAGTCCAAGCTATTAGACCACTTGAGACTGTGGTGAAAGCTGCACAGTCTGTCACACAGGACACTCGGGGTGGATGTTAACTGCTCACAGTGGGAAGAAGATGGCCGTAGAGAAATTTTACCAAGGATTGTCTAGGGCCTATGTGATAGGACTTGGGCAAAAACATTGCTGAGAAACAAAATAGGACTTGACTAGATGAAGAGCGGCATACTTTGAAGGAAAGGCTTTCTTTGACAAAGCATGTCATTTGTCATTGATGAAAATATCAGAGATACTCTTGAAAACATTATGAAATGATTCTGAAATTTATTTGTAAGAAATTTAAATTAGTGTGAACTTAAAAGGAAATGTGGACAAAGAGTAATGACGAGGAGTCCTAGAATTGCTGTACAAGTTACCCGATAGCTTGAATGTCAGGAGTTGAACCCAGAGTCTAGTGTGCCGGCCAGCACCTCATGCTCATGTGCTTTCTGGCTCCTTCCCTCTTTTCCTTCCCTTTGCTAAGTAGATATTCTGAATGTTCCTAAGGATCTCTTAGTGTAGTGGAGTAAACAGTTCTCCAAGGACGTAATGACAAGGCGATTCGATAATTTCTTATAGAAGTAAGAAAAAAGTCCTTTTGGAACACGAAGAAGGGGAGGCCAATTTTACTTCACTGCTTAATGCAGAAATACTCTGGGACCAAAGCAAATGGATAATTTTATATGTCTGGTAATTCAGTTTGCAGAGGGAATAAAGGTGTAGAGTAAGAATAATCAGTACTCTGTATTGGATATTAAGCAATTGGTAATTAATCTTGCTTCCATTATTTTGACAAGATTTCTCATTTCCTCCTTAGGATTTTGCAGGTTAATTCCTCACACACGTTCACCAGGTACCTGGACCATATATTTTGAAGGTGCAGATTATGAAAGTCACCTTCTGCGTGAGAACACAGAGCTGGTAAGAGTTTTGAGGGTACCATGAAGTGAAGTGTATCCTTAGGACCTGAAGATTCAATGCAGATTCATTTCTTTCTTATACTGAAGATCGGTGTGATAGCAGAGTTTTAAAATTACCATTAAATGCCGGTATTATTCAAAAACTTAAAAACCATAATTTTTATATATATATTTTTTCCTCCCAGGTCATGCCTATTACAGTTTTGTTGATAAGCAATGGTGCTTTTTCATAAAGAACACTTATACCCGTGGTTATGCCTGTCTTAATGTTAATACATATTTTTTAAAATATATTAATATGATAACCTTAAAATATTTTCTTAAAATTCTTTGACAAAAATATTTCATTCTTTTATAGTCAGACCTGCCTTGTCTTAAATATATATCAAGCTCTTTAGTAATATTTTGTATCTTTTTGTGAAAGAGTGGTAAATTCCAAAATTTCCCAGCTTCATACATGTTAGGGACAATTCTGCTTTGCTTCATATAGACAGTTTTAAACACAAAAGATTGATATATTTTTTTTTTGTATATTCAAAGTAATTAGTTTGGCTTCCCAGCATGCTTTAGGTTTTGAGCATTATATCATGGCCATTTCCAGAAATTGAATTAATTGATGATCATCTTTTATACCAAATGGTTGATCACATTGAACTACTGACAAAGTGAACTTACCCCTAATGCTTTTTTGTTTGTTTTTGGAGACAGAGTCTTGCTTATTTGCTCAGGCTGGAGTGCAGTGACTCAATCTTGGCTCACTGCAGCCTCTGCCTCCTTGGTTCAAGCACTTCCTCTGCCTCAGCCTCCCAGTAGCTGGGATTACAGGTGCCCGCCACCACGCCTGTCTAATTTTTTTGAATTTTCAGTAGAGGCAGGGTTTCACCACGTTGGCCAGGCTGGTCTCGAACCCCTGACCTCAAATGATTTGCCTGCCTCGGCCTCCCAAGAGACCTAGATGTTAGGTCGTCCTTGTTATAACCAATATTTGCAGTCCTCCGCATAGATAGTGTAAAATAAGTTTAAATGTCTTCTTTGGAAACACACACAAAAAGACTGGTAATTTATTTTGAAAGATAATAAAGTAAAGATTGAATTTTGTCCTTATGGTCAGGCTTTCTACCTGATAGTAATGGAGGATAGTAATGGGGGTTTAATTTTGTTTTATAAACTAAGTTTTTCAGTTCCCATTTAAATAGCATTTATGACTAGATTCATCTTTAAGACTTGCGTCAAGAATATTTAGTTTACCAGATTAATACCTGAGGAATATCTGTATTAATTGAATTTTTTTTTTTTTGCTGCTTGTCTTCCCACCCTTTTTCTTTTCTCCATTTGCTCCGGTGAACATGATTGACTAGATCATGAGTTCTCTAACCATACAGAAGCACTTCCATTTCATTTGCTCCGGTGAACATAATTGACTAGATCATGAATTCTCTAACAATACAGAAGCACTTCCATTTGTTTTCATCCTTTAGGCTCAGCCTCTGAGGAAAGAACCTGAAATAATCACTGTGACCCTAAAAAAGCAGAATGGAATGGGCCTCAGCATTGTTGCAGCAAAGGTAGGACAATTAGTCATGTGAGAGTTGTTCTCTCCGTTCTTTAAACATGGAATCAGTAGTTGTCAGAGAGGACCATGTGGGAGGACTTTCCCACCTGAGAATAATGTGCCTGTTCAGTTCTGCGTCTGTGTAGGTGAGGAATGCTGTTCAATGAATGAAGCCAGTGTGCTCACTGGGCCCAATTAGTTGAGGGATGATCTCCTACCCTGAGAATGTAGCTAGGATGATACCTCGAGATTGAGCAGATGGTGCTCAGAAGGAAACAATTTAAAGGCATAGTCAAAACTTGATTCACACAATGGGGAGAGAAAGCATTGGTAGAATAGAAAACTGCATAGTGGAAGAGGGGCCCAGGTTCATCACCTCATCATGTTGGACCAGTAGATACCTTTCTCAGACCCCAGTGCACATAAGAACCCCTAGGGACCTTGCTACACAAGGAGGTTTCTGGTTCTCATCTCCAGGTGTTCCCTGCCAGTACGTCTGCCCTGGAGCTTAGGAAACGGCCTTCCTAACCTAGGCCTTCCGTGGTTCTGGTAGATGCTGACTGCTGGACTACCCTCCCAGAATTCTTGGGGCTTGAATCCCTTTACCTAGTTTTGGCAGGATATTTAAAACTATACAGATCTTTTCTTTCAGTTAAAGAAATGAGTATTGTGACTCTTGGCATTACTCATGAGCCTCTTCCCCATGTGAATCTCAATTATGTTTGCTTAGAGTGAATTTTAGCTTTGAATCATAGCTATATAATTTCAATGAAACAAACATGTTTTTAGCTAATATTTAATAACTGATGTTTCAGTCAACTTTGCTAATATTTTGCTTAGAAATAACACTTTGGCAACTACAATTTTTATTTTTGTTTCTATCTCTAGGAATATATGAAAAGCTTGAAAATGTTATATAACAGTGTGATAGAAGTGCCTTCCGAATTACACAGTTAATGTGCTTTGAGAAATGTTTTAATTGCTAATAGTCAAAAATTGTAGTTTCTTTTTCTTTATACCAGATTTATATTATCCTGTATATTAATTTGGAAATAAATGGACTGTCATTTGAAACCTTGACATTCCCATTGCCTAGAGACCTGTGATTTTTAAAAAGTTACACTAAAGGTTTTTCTACCTCAGCACCTCTAATTTGTAAAGGGTCCAATTTGAAATGAGGGTATAGGGGCAGGCCATAAGGTCAGCCTCTCAGCGAACAAATCAAGAAGTATGAGAAAGAATGTTGAGGTCTTGGCTCTGAACTGAAGGCTAAATGGTAAGCTGATAAGTGGTCTGACAATACACAGGCCCTGCCTGGCTGGGCACATTTGCATCTCCTGTCCCTTCATACTGCAAGGCCTTTTTTTACTTTTATGTTTTAATTTTGTAAAGAGGTTGGGTCTTGCTCTGTCACCCAGGCTGGAGTGCAGGCAGTAGCACGAAGCTAGGACTATAGGAGCATATTACTCCGCCTGGCTAATTCAAAAGCTTTTTTTAGAGACAGGGTCTCACTGTGCTGCCCAGGCTGATCTCAGTTAAACTGGCTTCAAGCAATCCTCCCACCTTGGCCTCCCAAAGTGCAAACAAGCTTTTGTGTCTTACTTTGCAAGGACTTCTGGCAGCTCTCTGCTCATCTCAGTCCCGTAAATAGAGTACTTTCAGAACTGGAATTAGATGATGAAGAGTCTGGTATCTTTTCCCTCTCAGACTGACTCTGTAGCATCTTCATGGTAGTCATCCCCACTCCCAAGCAGTCCCTGGCGTATAGTAGGCAAAAAATACTTGTTGAAAAACAGCAAATAAGAACTTTTTTTTTAAACCGAATGGATATTTGATTTCCTCTTATACATGTTTAATTGTGGAAGTTAATTTATTCAAGATAACAAATTACCAACTGCATTAGCAAAACATTCACTGAATTAGCTATGAGGAAAATTTGTTATCCATAATCTTAGTCATAACACAAAATGCCTACAAAACAGCATGTGATCAAGATCTAATGCAGGTGCCATTAAAAGTTAACCTTTGTGTATTTCGGAGACGTTACGGAGATTAGTGAGTATTGTAGCAGTCGTTGAGGGCATCGTGGGAGAAGTGGAATTTCAGCTGGTCCTTGGAGCAAACCTAATTGGAATGAAGGAATAAAGGAGATGTATCGTGGGTGGGAGTGAGAGCACAAGCGAGGCTGGAAGCGGCAAGTCTTGTGTACACCTCATTTGGATAAAGTGAGACCTGTGTGACTACTAGGGAGAGTGGAATAAGGAGGGCAGAGTGCTCAATTAGTTTTAAAACTCTTGATTGACAGGTTAAGGAGTCTGTACTTGATGTTATAAGCACCACAGATAAATGCAGGATTTAGAATAAAAGAGAAGCATGATGAAACACATTTAGAAGGCTTTCTCTGGATCTGGTGTGCAGGATAGGTTAGTAGAACCTGGGACTGAAGGTGGACGTCTGCTTAGGAGTTCATCAGAGGAACCTGAACACTTTAGTATATGGGTTGAAGGTGTTGTGTGGGCCATAGCAGGCTGCCTCTCAGAGACCAAGGCCTGTGGGGTTCACCTGCGCAGGCAGAGGGTGGTCCAGGGTCCCTCAGCCCACCTCACCATCCAGAATTTCTGCTTACTCCTAGTAAGGGTCCTGCTCACAGACCATGTTTCCAGGCAGTTACAATTTAAGGGACCAGGACTAAAACATCTGGAGATGTGAAAGGGGAAGTATCAGCCGTAGAACTAAGTTTTCTCTCTGTTTACCAACTGAGTCAATGCCCATTTTCAGGAAAAAATCAAAATTAAAAATTACTCTACCATTCTCAAATCTATGGACAAAATTTAACCTCCATATTTTCTGTTGTGTTTATCCTGTTACCTTATTTTAAATGCTCTTCTTATCTGAGGTTTTAAGAGTATGGAGGTGGAAGGAGGGGGCTTCCATTATCAGTTTCCACCTCTTCCAATTAAAAAAAATACGGACTCAAGTCTGATTTAGCTCAGCATTTAGTCTTTCAGAGTTTTCAAATCATCTCTCGTATGACTTCCTGATGTATAAAGGAACCGCAGCACCATCCAGCAGGAGACGAGGAGAGGAGCTCTGCGTTCACTTGACACTTGCCCGCCCTCTCCTGGGTGTCCTCTGGCCTCTGATTGTGTGCCTCTGAATGTTAACCTCTGTTCTTGCCAGGGTGGCAGGGGGCAATTAGGACAACAAACCAGATTGAAAGTCACACCTGAGTTTTCTTCCGTTACCAAGATGTCTGTGATCTTAGCCACTTTATCAGCACATGCCCCTTGACTGCTTGAGGGACCAGACAGAAGACTATGAATGAGGAGTTATATGGTAGTATAAAGAAAGGCTTTGTGATGGTGCACCTGGACAGAGCTGAGGATTTTATTATAGGTGAAATAAGGATCCTTGAGATTTAAGTGAGGCATGATATGATTAGAGTGCAGTGTTTAAAGTTTATTTTTACAACTCTGGAACGTGGATTAGAGACACTCAGAAGCACAGTCAGAGACTAATAGTAAGTTGTACTAGTGTTTCCAGCTGAGAGGTTGTGGGAAGCTTACAGTAGGGACGAGGCAGTGGAGATGATGGGGTAGTTTGCTGTGTGTGCAGAGGACAAAGGTGTTCTAGAACAGACCCCCATGAAGGCAAGCATCTTCTCTTGTTCACTGTTGAAGGGTTGACAGTTTCTGGTCATAGTAGGTACTGATACATATTTGTTGAATGGCAGTTTTTGGATTGGTTCGTGAGTTGGTGGTAGTGGACGAAACAGGGAAGTATCCAAATGAATCCTGGTTTTGTCTTGGGCAACTGGCCGTACTTACCAAGACAGGGAGACTGAAGAGGGGCAAGTGTGGTGGCAGTGGGCATTGAGAGTTCAGCTTTGAATGTGTCACACTGGAGATACGGATGCCTGTTGAGGTGAGTGAATATATATTAGCTAGTAGATAGTTGGATAGTGAAGCTCAGAGGGTTAGAGCTAGAGATAAAATTTGAATGTCAGCATATAGATGCTCTAAAGGAAATAAAGAAAATGGCCTGTTAACTGGACAGTGTACCATTTTCAGAAATGAAGCGTCTATTAACATCTTTTCTTGAAAAGAGAGAGATGAATCTAGTAGTTCCCTGGCATACTGGATTACTAAATATGTCCATCCTTTTCCAGTTTACTTGTAATTTCAGGTACTTGGAAAGTCATCTAACACATAGACACTGCTGAGATTACACTGTATAGTTGATAGATAAGTGGGTCTGCATAAATTATTATAGTAGAGTGGACTTATTTTTGAGATTTCAGGGGTGTATTCTAAGTGAAGGGTAGGGCAGTGTACAGGGGGATATATATATATATATATATATATATATATATATATATATTTATACAGAAAAGCCTATAGACTTGTGTAGTTAAACTTTACCCCCAGTAATTTGTGTGCTTTTGTTGTTTTCTGTAAGCTGTGTGGCTTTTGTATTTGGCCCATTGTTTTTTCCATTTCTAAATTGGTGTATGGCTTAGCTGCTGTAACCCTGAACCATGTTTTGGTGTTAAGTTCCCTGACTCGCCTTCCACATGGTGGTTAAGTTTTATGAAATCCAGATGATTTGGAAGTGGTGTGGGTATGCAGTTTACTTTTTAAAACATTGCTTTTGGGGACATTCAGCAAGCTACTTCTTGCTCATCTGTGGGACAACATGATACTTCCTGTTTAATTTGGATTTTTAAATTACAAACAATTCCTTCCTTTTTGTTTTTCTAACTGTTTTTAAAGTTTAAAAGTACAAAATGAATAGTAATCATAGTGGACTGGTTACGTAAGAGCCTGAATATTGCGTTAGTTCTAGGTCGTGTTGATAAATGCCATGCCGGGTCATCGCATCCAGTGCAGAATGTGGTGATCCTGGTCTTGAAAAACCAGCTGTGTTGCATGCTCTTGAAAACTGAGAGAAGTAGACAGTTGTTTTTTCAGTTCAAGAAGTTGTTGTGGTCCCAGAAATGAAAATGTGGTTCTC